ATCATGTTTTAGAGTAAAAACATTGCAGAAACTCCATTTACTGTATCGCAGTGAAGTTTACTAAATGATACTATAACTTAAAAGCTTTAACACAGCCTCTTACACTCATTAATTGATCATCAATAATTTATAAGACAACATTGTACACACTATACCCTAATAAATGAAGAGGGACAGATGTTAACAAAATACCAACCCAGCCCTAGAGACCCTGGCAGTTGGCCAGCCACAGTATTTGCCCAAGGAAAAGGCTTAAAAATTAATTAAGATTCTAGCTAACAAAAGAAGTTAAATGCCCAAGAAAATGCTAGTTTGTGCTTTACAGTAATTCACAATTAACATTAAGAGAATCCATAAAAAACAATTAACTACTAAATTCTTAATTTTGACATTGAGTTGATTCAGTATTTCAGTGGAATTGAAAAGTATTGATCTAATTGTATAAACACGAAAGCTCAGTTCCTATTGCATAACCGGCCAGGGGGAAGGTGACACCAGCTATTAGCATCACAGGGAGTGCCTGACAACCACATTCTGGATCAGGTTTTTCTTATCTGGTGATGCTGGGATACAGAAAGGATTTTTAGTATCTCCTGGAAATACAGCTATACACTTTTATTTTTCTGTCCTAACCGGTTTTGAATGTCACTAATATTCTCATTTGCCAAAAGAGGAAAATAAACGTTTCATAGCAAGGCCTAGGTACGAACATAAATACAATTAAACATAACTAAAGAACACAAAATGATAGGATGTTACACGCCACTTTGGGGTCCAATCACTAAAGAGTTGTAGAGATTCCACGTACGAAAATGACAATGATTCACTAATTTTTCTTAAAACATTGTTCGAGCCAGGAAACTTTCAAAAATTAATATTAATTTGCCCAATTAGTTCCAAATTGCCCAATCAATAATGTATATTCAGAACAAGCTGACTCATCTACACCGTCTCAGTTCTACTTCTGCTTCAAGACAAGTACCCACGAGGCTGAGAAATGACAGTAATTTCTGGACTGTTTGAATGCCAGAAAAAGGGAAGAAGTAACTATCATTCATTATGGACGTCCCTATTCTAACACAGAAGACATACATGCAACATTCAGGATTCACAGCTGAGGCCTAATTCTGTGCACATGGCCAGGTAGTTTCATAAATTCCTGATCCACGTTCTACTAGTATCATCGGCTAGGAATTAACAAAACTAGTAAAATCAAAGAATACCAAAATGATTTAACTGCATTATATGTGACGTTTTACAGAAATATAAAATGAACCCCCCCTTCTAGCTTCCGCAATGGAGCAGAGGTAAAATATACTTGTCACAGCATACATAATACTATTTCTATCTTCTATTGTAATTTATTGTATTTTATAAAAACAATGACTCCAGGCACATCAGACTCTATGTAGTAAGAAGTGGTTTCTAATGGTCAAAATATACACCTCTAAACGACCATAAGTCATTACGACCATAGAAAAATCTTTTACCACAGGGGAGTTAGAAGGTGAAACCCATCCCATGTACTGGAGACATCTGCCATCAGAACATCAGTCACCAGCTCTGAATGCAGCCGCAGAGGTGCACGGACCTTCCAGAAATTGACAATGCTTTATAGTCATGTCGAAATAGGAAAATATCAAGACAGCAGGCTACATTAGCACATGCTGAGTACTAACCTTTTTGGGATCAAAATGATAATAACTTCTAGCTCTCATGGTAAAAATGAGATAAAATTCTATTACCACTACCCACCATTTACTAAGCATGTCTTCTACTCCTATGGAACAAAAAACTTTTTAGAGCACAGAAAATACATATAAAACATCATGTTTGGGATGTTTCTACATTATTTTTTATTTTTAAAACAAGCCAAATTAGATTCGAGTGTGCTCATGTGTCTGCTCGGTGTTGCGTAAGGCAGGCTCTGTGCATGCAAAGTGTGAACGCAAAAGGAAAGAAATCCTTCAGCAGACTGAGTCTCCCAAATACGGTGTGGGTGCCTGACAGCTGAGAGGAAACGCGGCTGAGACATCTGCTGGAATCCAGCAAGCCCCAGGCACAGAAAAATGCGCGGCTGGCAGTGTGGCTGGACGTGCAGACCTGTGTGGGAAGTCAGCCATGCTTGTGGCAGACCCTTATTGTCCTAGATGATGATTCCTGTCACTGGCTTCTTTTCCAGTTGTAATGTCACATCCAAAGAACATTGTTGGAGTTGAAGGACCAGCCTGGTCTTTAAAACAAATAGGCTTAAAGCTTGGATTTACAAAGGCATGGTATTTGAAATGAAAAAAAAAAATGTGTACAAAAAATTGTATGTTCCATAAAAACTTCCATATGCAGGGGTAAAACCCCCCCCCAAAAACAGGACTTTAGAAAAAAATAAGCTGGCTATTTTGCACTTCATTCTACATTTCCTTTTAAATATGTTATTTAAGTTTTGGTTTTTTTTCGTAAAAGTTGTGTTTTGGGATCATCATATTCTGAGAGGAGAGTGTTTTTAGAGGAGAATTCACCTTTTAAGACCTATGCTCTGAAAACACTACCTTACAGTTTACTCCACAGCCACTATTTGCCTCTTCGGAATAAACTAGGCACCTAACTCCTTTCCAAACCATTTCAGAGACACATCCTGGTCACTCCACCAAACCATCCTGTGTCCTCAGTGCTGTGGAATGTTGATTACAAAATGAAAGCATGGCATTTTTCCTTTATGAGCTTATAATTTACTAGGGTATAGGTGAATCAACTGTATACATTCAAAGGCACAAATATCCGATAATCAGCTCTAATTGTTTTGACGATATAAAATAAAGGGAAGATTTTGAAGGAAGAGAGCTGTGATAGTTTACAGGTGAGCAGTAACAGATAAAATGGATGCAGCACTCTGCAATTTAAGAAGTGATCCTCACACAATTCAGGACACCTGACAGGCATCCCCACCCCATCTTACTGAGAAGAACCTGCGGTCAAGAAAGGGTGGGCAGCAGGGCGGCGGGGCTCCTTCCGCTACTGGGGGCTGCCGCTGCGTTTATCCTCTCCACCTTCCCTCACGTAAGCCATCTCGTCTGCTCCTTCCTGCCACCAGAAGTGCTCACAGCAGCTAACGCCCAGCAGCTCACGCCAGTGAGTGGCGTCGCTGTCACACCATGCGAACTCACTCGCTCCTCACACCCCCGATGAGAGGAAGGGTGACAGCATGACCCCATGTTACAGATGACGAAACTGAGGCTCACGCAGCTGCCGGGTGGAGGGACGAAGTGCAGCCCAGGAATCGGCCTTCGCCCCTCACTCCAGCGGGTTAACAGAGCAGGCGAAGAAAGGGGGCCACCGTCAGCGGAGAGGCCCTCACAGAGGGAGTGCAGGGAGCCCGCCTCTGGCGCTCCACCCCACACTCCTGCTACGTGCAACTGGGACAATCCGAGCATTAGGGGCTCAAGGGCCAGGGGGCCTGGCTGAAGGCTGGTCCTCAGCAGAGCATGAGCAGGTGAGGGACACGCAGGGAGGTGACAGAAGTATGAGGCGTGTGGGCAGGTGTGCGTCTGCCTTCTCACGGCCTCCATGCACACAAGTAGGGGGACAAAGAAGGATGACTCTCATTAAGGTCATTAGGAAACGTGCCCCCCAACAGGACTGATTTGTTTGCAGAGAAAACTTAAAGCCACAGACAGGTCTAGGACAGGTGTTGTAATGCCTCCCAAAGGAGTGACCCCCTTCCCGTGCCCCCCCACACACACACACACAGGAGGAAATCATACAAGCACTGAGAGCACTGGACTCCACATTTCATTTTTTTCACTCAAATGTCATTTGCAGGTCAGCAAGTCCTTTTCCCTGTGGAGCACAGAGAAGCGGGCAGGGGCCACCCACAGCAGAGCCCCGGCCCATCCTCTGGTTCTGGCTGCCTCACACACAGCCCTTCCTCAGAGCCCCCTGAAAGCCGGGGGCAGGGAGGGTGGCAATCACAACAAAAACGCCGCTGGAGCCAATGCACTGAAAGGCCAGCCTAAACCTGACGCCCATGGTAAAAGTAGGACTTGCAGCCAACAGAGAGAGAAATCGCGGCAGAGGCCAAGCACAGAGACACCGGGATACCAGGCAGCAGCGCTTTGTAGAAGACAAATTAAATGAGGAAAACAAACCCAATGGAATTTCCCTTCTCATTACTTAAAATAAACCCGGTCACTGACACGGGCTTACACTCTGGCACTGGGTTCATTTTCACTTCACTTTTCTCTCATGAAACCATAAATTCCCACGGAAACACTTCAGCCATGTGTGCACAAAAGCTGGAATGCCTACCATTGCAGTGAAAGCACCTCAGCCAGTCCAAAGTGACAGGAATGCAGGGAGGGCCGCCACGTCCTCTGCTTATGTCAACAGCTATTTTACGAGCATGAACGATCTCTGTGGCCAGTAAGCTTGTGCAAAATACATTCCGAGTCTGTGAGAAGCCTCAATGCGGAAGAGCAAGGAAAGGCCTCAAGTGCACGCAGAACATCGAAACGGAGCTGGGCTTCCTAGAATGTAGCAGTCAGATGTTTCCTCCCAAAGCCATTAGCGTCAAATAGACCTCAATGGATTAAGTTCACGTGTAACCACAATTGAAATATATGATTCAACTGAGCTCTGACCTATTTCTCCTCTCGAAAGCAAAAGGGAATAATGACAGTCGTGAGACTTCCATTTTTCAATTACAGCATTTTTCTGGATGTTATTTTACAGTACAGGTAAAGGCAAAATTCACTTAGTGACATTTATTTGCTTTAAAATATAGCTATTTATGCTACTGCTCATAGGATAGAATTTTTATAACAATTAAATTATATTTGTTCACTTATTTTTAAACTGTGCAGATGAGGAGGCATTCAGGAAGGAACTGATGTCAATATGTAACAATATCTAAGTCTATATTTCAGTTCCAACTACGTGATATAAGGAAACCAACAGTCAGCATGAGAAATACAAAATTAACCACGCGCATAGTTGCGAACACCTACCCCTGGCAGATAGCTTCTTGGTGTTGATGATTTTTGCAGCATACTCCTGTCCAGTAGGGATTTTCATACATCTTCTCACCACTGAGAAAGCGCCCCTGGAAACCACAAATCAGCAGGTCATCAATATAATCGGCTCTGAGAGTCTACTGAAAATGACAACAATCTGAGCATTTTTATTGAATTTAGTGAATTTTCAAATTCACTAGTATTTGTAGTGCACTACAGCAATATCCTGGAAATGAGGAATTCTTCATGGAAACCTAGACCTTTAATGCTGAGGAATAAAAGTACATTTAAAATTTTTATTTACCTAGGAGCCCACATTAATCAACAAAAACAAAGGAACTGCCAGTTATGAGGATTTAGTTTGCACGTGAAATCTGAAAACCATTTACAATTCACATTCACACAGCACCAAATGCTGAGAAAAAAACCCTGCGAAGAGCAGAGCTGAGGAAGAGCAGCAAAAATCTGCCACCTATTTATTTTGGTAGGAAAAAAAAAATTAATGTGGCTCCAAGTAAGTAAACATGGCGACTGTTTTCATGAAAATATAAATCTTGGGAACATTTGTGTGGTTTAACATTCTGGTGTGGTGATTTCTCTGGGTCCTGTTCTGGGCTGGGGGAAGGGAGAGGTTTCAATAAAGCTGCACTTCCGACATCTTCTCCATATTTGAACAGCAAACAATACATAAACATATAAGGATAGACTGTTCATCCCACTGAACAGATAGTTCCATTTTCTTTAATTCAGCGGCATGAGCCGCCAGCCTACACGTAACCGCGCCCTTTCATCGGTAATCGCGGAAACGGCGGCAGAGGACCGGGTTTGGGTCAGATGCTGCATAAATCATACATCAGCGTCCCGGTCCCGCGGGGTCCCCGCGCACAGGCCCCAGCACGTCGGCAGCGGCCGGCGGTCCCCACG